ACTAATAAAGTTAACTGCAACGATCTTCATAAGGAAAGATCACTTTTGATAACTAACAAAGTTAACTGCAACGATCTTCGTAAGGCAAGATCACTAGTAGGTTTATAAAAGATCGTTAAAGATAGCTTTCTTTAAACATTTGAGTTGAATAGAAAATTTGTTTTCAAAGTGTTAGAAAAGATAGACAAGATCGCTCTCGCTCTCTTACTGTTTTAGGCCGAGTTTGACTAAAGTTTTTTTGTTGAAAGACACATATTGTTGCTTAATTTTTGTATCAAGAGTAGACATCACTGTAAACATTTAATATGTATTTCCAATATGGCGTTAAACTGGTCTTTACTGCTAATGTGCGTGTGTGTATATAACTGATTAAACTCTTTTAAAATTATATAAATAGAAAACCCTTTTTAACACCTTAACAAAACATAAACTCATGCTAATTTTGAAATATGTGTTTCTCTTTGTGTTAATCTAAAAAGTAGAGTGGAAGGGGTGGGTTAATTTAACTAAAAATAGAAAATACTTCTTTTTTTTGGGTGACACCCCAGAAAAAGAAGTGACACATAAAGGTGTCATATTTAAAGGAAATTAAAAGTTTAACGGTTAAATTTTGGGAAACAATTTAAAAGAATTTTTGTTTTAGAGAGAGAGTATTTTGTAGAGAAATTTTTTTTTAAAATATTTAATAAGTTAAAGGATTTATTGTTATTATTTTGTAGTTGGAAACCATTTGCATGTTTTGTTTTTGTTCTCAAACACAGACATGTTATTTTATACATAAGGCTTATTAGAGGGAAAGAGTTGCCACTTGGTTGCCACTTTTATTGTTGGAGAAAAAAAAAAAAAAAAAAAAAACGAAGATGAGAGTTAGATGGGTGTGTATGTGTGTAAGTTTGTTTTCAGGCTTTTCTTTTCATTGCCGGTTGTTGTTGCTGTTTTCATATTATGTATTCATAAGCTGGATTTTTATGCTATTGTTGTTGCTTTAGTAGTAAAATGCTTTGTTGTCGTTGCAATTTTTTACGCTTTCGGTTATTGTTTTTACTCAATGGCTTGTTGTTACACTGAGCAAAATGCTGAAACGTTTTTTAAGTTTTTTGAGAGGAAATTGTTTAAACTGAAAGTTTTCCAGTCGACAGTCTGGAGTTTGTAGGTTCGATAGCTGCCAGGGGACGAGGTACCAGCGGACCAATATAATCCTTAGACCGAAGTACATATTTTGTAAAGGAGCACACAACATGCCCGATCATACATCTTACTTACAATCTAACTAACTAACTAACTAACTAACTAACTAACTAACTAACTAACTAACTAACTAACTAACTAACTAACTAACTAACTAACTAACTAACTAACTAACTAACTAACTAACTAACTAACTAACTAACTAACTAACTAACTAACTAACTAACTAACTAACTAACAAACTAACTAACTAACTAACTAACTAACTAACTAACTAACTAACTAACTAACTAACTAACTAACTAACTAAGTAACTAACTAACTAACTAAGTAACTAACTAACTAACTAACTAACTAACTAACTAACTAACTAACTAACTAACTAACTAACTAACTAACTAACTAACTAACTAACTAACTAACTAACTAACTAACTAACTAACTAACTAACTAACTAACTAACTAACTAACTAACTAACTAACTAACTAACTAACTAACTAACTAACTAACTAACTAACTAACTAACTACTAACTAACTACTAACTAACTAACTAACTAACTAACTAACTAACTAACTAACTAACTAACTAACTAACTACTAACTAACTAACTAACTAACTAACTAACTAACTAACTACTAACTAACTAACTAACTAACTAACTAACTAACTACTAACTAACTAACTACTAACTAACTAACTAACTAACTAACTAACTAACTAACTAACTAACTAACTAACTAACTAACTAACTAACTAACTAACTAACTAACTAACTAACTAACTAACTAACTAACTAACTAACTAACTAACTACTAACTAACTACTAACTAACTAACTAACTAACTAACTAACTAACTAACTAACTAACTAACTAACTAACTAACTAACTAACTAACTAACTAACTAACTACTAACTAACTAACTAACTAACTAACTAACTAACTAACTAACTAACTAACTAACTACTAACTAACTAACTAACTAACTAACTAACTAACTAACTAACTACCTAACTGACTAACTAACTAACTAACTAACTAACTAACTAACTAACTAACTAACTAACTAACTAACTAACTAACTAACTAAGTAACTAACTAACTAACTACCTAACTAACTAACTAACTAACTAACTATCTATCTATCTATCTATCTATCTATCTATCTATCTATCTATCTATCTATCTATCTATCTATCTATCTATCTATCTATCTATCTATCTATCTATCTATCTATCTATCTATCTATCTATCTATCTATCTATCTATCTATCTATCTATCTATCTATCTATCTATCTATCTATCTATCTATCTATCTATCTATCTATCTATCTATCTATCTATCTATCTATCTATCTATCTATCTATCTATCTATCTATCTATCTATCTATCTATCTATCTATCTATCTATCTATCTATCTATCTATCTATCTATCTACCTATCTATCTATCCATCTATCTATGTATCTATCTATCTATCTATCTATCTATCTATCTATCTATCTATCTATCTATCTATCTATCTATCTATCTATCTATCTATCTATCTATCTATCTATCTATCTATCTATCTATCTATCTATCTATCTATCTATCTATCTATCTATCTATCTATCTATCTATCTATCTATCTATCTATCTATCTATCTATCTATCTATCTATCTATCTATCTATCTATCTATCTATCTATCTATCTATCTATCTATCTATCTATCTATCTATCTATCTATCTATCTATCTATCTATCTATCTACCTATCAACATTTAGTTCCTTTCCCAATTTCTCACAGTGTTTTTACAATTTTGTTCTTATTTTTGTCTCTTTTTATCCTGCCCCCTTCCGCCCACTTAATACATATGAAGTGTTGCATCTTAGATAGCTAAGTTAGCCCACTTATTATTGTGGGTTCTTTTTTCTCATACACAGTATCATAGAAAAATTTTGCTACAAATTAACATATGTACATGTAAAAATATTCATACATACCTACGTAGGCTTTATCTTAAAAACATTGTATTATATGACATTGACTAAAAAACATAAAATTTTCTTTAGGTTTTTCTTTTGTTTTTTTTTTTCTTTTATTCATTCTAAGATGAAGAGGTTTTTTCTACCTTTTTCTAGTATTAAGTCTTTTCAACACGGTTCAAGTATACCCAATGGATGGGTTAAAGAAGAAAAGAAAGCAAAAAGAAACTAATTAGCCTAAGATTTTTCTTTTACACACAATGTACAAAATAAGTTGAGCAGGTTTTTTTTTTGGTTTAGAAAAGCTAATTTTTGTTTAAGGAAAAATAGAAAAAAATAAAAGTGAAAAAAAATTCTAAAAAAAAATTCACAGAATCTTCAAGTTTGAATAATAAAAATTTCATTAGTTTTGTTTTAGAAGATCATACCAGGAACTTTTTAAAAGCTTTCCATACTTCGCTTCGAGCAAAAATCAAGAATCTAGAAGTTTGGTTTACCATAGAGTTTGTTACTCAGTTATTCACTTTTCATTATAGCTAAAAGCTCACTATGTGAACTTTGTAGAAGCTTAAGTTCGGCTTTTTAAATTTCACATAAAGCTTTTAGCAAAAGAGTTTAAACATAAGCAGCTGTTTCAAAAAAAAAAAAATTAAGTAAGTTTGATCAGCATAGATGTTGTAATGTTTAACTTACTTTTTATTGTAATTAGAAGTTAAATATTTGAACTTTTTAAAAGCTTTAATACGGCCTTACTACTTTTTCTTATAAGATTTCTATTAATATGTTTAAAATGCGCTCAAAACTTAGAGAATCATTTTGATTATTTATGAACTTTGCTAGACTTTTACTCACTCTCTATATAAACTTTTAAATTTCAGTTAAAGCTTTTTTAAATTTTGTTTAAACTTTAGCCGCAGCTTCAAAATTATTAACACATTTTGATCTTCTCATCTATCCCTATGTTTAACACTCTATTACTCACGGTTTATTTAAGCTAGAAGTTTAATGTTCGAGCTTTTTAAAACCTTTGTAAGCTTTTTTAAAAATCTTTTAACAATTGTTTAAAACTTTACTTAAAACTTCAGGAAAACTTGGTACTTTATGGCAAAAGTTCGCATTTTAGTGGGCAAACTATAAAGCTCTATAACTAACTGGATATTTAAACTATATGGTTTAGACTTGCTGGTTTTAAAAGCTTTAAGCTTAATCTTTAGTTTGCGTATAAACTTTTGTTGAAAACTGTTTTGTTGAAAGAAGAACTTTTCTTAATAGAAATACCAAACTGAAATCGTTTTGTAAAATTTGTTGCAAATCGACTTGAACTTTTTAAAAGCTTAAATCCAGAGCTTTGATTTTGCACCAAGCCCTAATAAAACTTTCTACAAGTTTAACTTCAGAACCTTAATTTTCTTATTAACTTATGGTCTAATAAGACTGTGATCTTGAAATACGAAGAGAAAATCGTTTTGAAAAACTTGTTTTGACCTAAAGTTTTCAAAAGCTTAACCCCAGAACTTTGATTTTTCTATAAACTTTTGAACAAACTTGTTCAGTAGATATTTTGAAATCTTTTACAAATCAGTTTTGGGTCTAGAAATTCGAACAGAAACGATTTGAAAAATTTGTTGAAAATCGACTTGAACTTTTTAAAAGCTTAAGTCCAGTCTCGCCTTTTTACGCGTTAGGACTTTGTTTTGATAAAATCACTTTGAAGTTTATTTTGAAACACTTTTTTGACTAAAACTTTAGAAAAGTTTTGATTAAATCTTCTATAAAACTTTTTGTTGAATTCTTACACAATTTTGTTCTATTTTTTAAAAAAATTAAAAAAACTCACCCGCAAACTGTGAACCAAAATGCTGCTGAAAATGACCCCTAAACTCATGGGGCGTACTAAAACCGGGCGGCAGGAACCCTCTCAAATAAGCAGCAGCCGCCAAAGTGGTCATATGATGATGATGAGCGGCCGCATTCAATTGGCCAGCATGATCGGCAGCCGCATAACCGGCGGCCGCATAAAAATTGGCCGGATTAAAGACGGGTAATTGCACATGAGCAGCGGCGGCTGCAGCAGCAGCAGCGGCTGATAAACGACTAACATCGGGCGATAAAGATCTAGAGTCACGATGACGACCATGCGACGAAGAGGCGGGAGAAATGGGAGCATTATTACAATCACTGGGCGTGTGGGCGGCAGGAGGCGAAGAGGTGGACAAACGTTGGGCGGCAGGAGGCTGAGAACTAGAGCTGGAATTGTGTGAAGAGGGAGGTGGAGTGGTGGCGTTAACAGGCGGTAGAGCGGCATGTGGATGCAAATGAACGGGATGAGGATAGCCGGCGGCAGCGGCGGCTGCAGCAGAACCCACTCCCAAACCCAAAATTTCCTGTATGGCAAAGGGAGTGCGCATTTTGGTGGCTTGCATTTTTACCGACGGCCAACTGCAGAGTTGAACTTTTTTAGTTTTTCAGTTTTTTTTTTAATTTTTTCAAAATTTTTTTTAACAATTATAAATTTTTATTTAAATTTTTATAAAAACATTTTGTTTTTTTTAGAAATTTTTTAAAAAAATTTAAGAATTTTTTAAGTTTTAAATTTTTTAAACTTTTGTTTAAGTTTTATGTGTTTTTTCTTTAAACTGTTTTAGGGGTTTTGTTTAAAATTAAAATCAAGGCATATTTTTAGGCTTAATTTATTAAAAACTTTTCTTTTTTTTAAAGGATTTTCTGGGGTTTTTAATCTCTTTTTCGGGAAATTTTCTTAAAATGTAATTTTTTCTTTAATTATTTGTTAAATTTTTTTTATTAATTTTTAATATTTTTTTTTTAAATATTGCACTTTTTGTTTAAAAATTTGTTTAACAGTTTTTTTAAAAACTCATTTTTATCAAAATTTATTTTGAACTTTTTAAAACTTTATTAATTATCCGTTAGATTACACGTGTTTTAAGATTTTTCAAATATTTTTTTTTCTTTCTTGTTTTTAAAAATCCATTAGATTAAAAATTTTTGTGAAAAAAAAAAATTTTTCTTTAAATTTCATACACTCAAGACTTGACGCACGAAACGTTGCTTTTGCTCAAAGTACTAAAATGAACTGAATTGTGGCAAAGGTTTTGTGAATGGAAAAAGAGTATCCAAGAGTTTTGTGCTTAAAACACACTAATACCAAATTAACCCTTATTTAGCCATAAAGGTTAGACAATGACAACTGTTTTTCTCAACTCTAGCCATTTCAGTCTAACCAGTTTTTTTTTCGAATCTCAATACAAAATCCAACTAGAATATCTGTTAAATAAGGGGCAAAGCAGATTCCAATAAGTATCTTTTAAGTATCTAAATATCCATCAGATACATTTATTGCTTGGCTGCTCTTCCCATATATAAGGGGGAAATTTATCTCTTCTAAAGCTATCACTTTTACTCTTTTTTAAATACCCACCTCAGTCATCTCTTTATCTCTTTCTCTAACACTAGTTACAGTTACTATAGCTTTGTATCTCATAAATTTCCACTACAACCAGGTGTGAGTGAGAGAGTATGCGCCAGATTTTTCTATAAGAAATCTTTTTTTGTTGAATTTTCTTTAATGAAGTTCAGTTTCTCTTTCTCAAATTTTGTTTTAAACAGTCACTGAGCTTTGTGTTTTTAGGATTTGTAGACAATTTTGAACTGCTTTACGCACTTTAATTATAAAGATTTTTAACATATAGCATTTGTAAGCGGAAAACTGTCAAAACCCCACATACATCGAGTTCCATTTGTTGGTGAAATTAAAAAAAATTAGTTGTTAAAAAGCCCAAAAACTACATATCAAGTAAAAATTTCTATTCAGATTAACAAAATTTTTTTGAAGAAATCGTTTTAAAGTGTAACCGTGGCAAATGGCAAATTTTCCACATTCTTGAAAAGTAAATTTGTGATTATTCGGCAAACTTTGAAATGGGGCATAAACTTTAAAAAACGGCAACTTTTCAAAAGCTAAATGTTATAAATTTTTATTATAATTCATCAAAAAAGCTTTAAAACTTTCAAATTTGCCAGTTTCCTAAGACGCATTAGACGTGACCATGTGCCTGTCTGACAATTTTATTATGCCTGCTTTCGAGAAGTTTTCTATTTAAAATCAGTGAAATATTTTAAAAAATCGGAGATCGGTACATAATTTGTCATAGCTCCCATATAAAGTTCTCTTAGGAAAATCACTTAATCTTAAATAACTCACGAATTAATAATGATATCGTGATAAACATAGAATATACAAATCACTCAGTAAAAGTTTTATTTCCGTATAACCCCATTATTGGTTATATATTCCATATAAAGTTCTCTTCCGAAAATCACTTAATCTTAAATAACTCACGAATTAATAATGATATTGTGATAAAATTAGAGTTCTAATAAGTTTTGGATATATACAAGTCCTTTTGTGAATGTTTTTTCCTTAACGGCTCATAATTGCTCTTAGCTCTCACATAAAGCTTTCTTCTGAAAATCACTTAATCGTAAATAACTCACGAATTAAAAACGATAGCAGGATATTTACAATTAATCTGAATATAATTGATCTTAGCTACAATATAAAGCTATGTATTCCGATATCATTCTGCCGAAATAATTTTCTCTTAAAAAACTTCGTTGTTGCTGTTGAACAAGATATTTTCAAAATTATCAATATTCCCGATAAATTCGTGATGAATATGAAATGAATATGAAAGTTTTGGATATATCAAAATCATTCTGTGACTGTTTTTTTCCTTGCCGGCTTATAATTGCTCTAGCATTAAGTTCTCTTCTGATATTTACTTAATCGTAAATAATTCACGAATTAATAGTGATATCGGGATAAAGTATGAATCGAATATGTGTTTTATATTTAGAATCAATCTGGATATAATTTGTCTTAGCTTTCTTATCAAACTTATCATTCAGCCGAAATAATTTTCTCTAAAAAAACTTCGTTCTTGCTGTTGAGCAAGATATTTCCAAATTTCTCAATATTCGCGATAAGTTCGTGATAAATATGAAATAGAAAATTAATTTATTTAATTTTTAATAGTTTTATAATTTTTTAATATTTGTTTTTAACTAAATACTAGAAGTATAACTAGTGTCAAAGAGCTGGTTCCTTGAAAACTCCTTACAAGTACTTTGTGAATCACAGTAAAGATCTCCTGAGGATAGTAGAGTACCCTAGATGCTTCGCTACCTTTATGGAAGATAAACTAAAATGAAATTTCTATAGTCTAGTCTATAGTCTAGTCTATAGTCTAGTCTATAGTCTAGTCTATAGTCTAGTCTATAGTCCAGTCTATAGTCTAGTCTATAGTCTAGTCTATAGTCTAGTCTATAGTCTAGTCTATAGTCTAGCCTATAGTCTAGTCTATAGTCTAGTCTATAGTCTAGTCTATAGTCTAGTCTATAGTATAGTATATAATAGTCTAGTCTTGTCAATTTTTATTGAAAATGGTCATTAAAAATACTGTATAGTAGTCGATTATTACTTTTCAAATTTAAACATTTTATTAACAAATTAGTTACAAAAATAGTAATTTTAAAAAAAATTATAAACATATTTATGTAATAAATTTATTATACTTATTTATGTATATGTGTATAACAAACTTATGTACATTAAAAAGAATAATTTCTTTACAAATCCAATATTAGCATGAGGTCATCATTTAGAAAAAAAACTCTTTGAAGAGAGAAAGAAACAGCAATAAAATAAAATAGCCAAAACAACAACAATAACAAAAAAACTAACCTTTAAGTGACCATCATACAATATGTCTGCCATTAAGCTAATCGATAAAGTGCCTTTAATTGGCAAGAGTCAAATTAAAACCTCAGCTGAATATACTAAAAAACCAACAACACACGCATTTATACACACACATACTCATAAAACGACTAATATACAGTTAAATAACAACAAAAACATGCTAACTACTTAAAAGCTTAATTAACATGTTTCCTAGACAACAATAACAACACAAAAATTTACAGCAAAAAACAAAACATTTAATGGAAAAAGGGAGAGGAGCAAAGAAGAACATTAGGAGCAGGAGAAAGTTATTTACTACCGTTTACTACAGTTTTAAATACATACTAATTTATCTACATAGTTGTTGTTTTTGTTTTAAAAGAAAAACATTATTAAGGGGTATTTTTAAGTGTAATTGTGTTTTTTGGAAAAAGTACAAGTTTCCAAGAGAAAACAAATGAGCTAAATAAATTTTAAAAGGAAAAACAAAGAAAACCTCCAAAAATGTTTCAAGAATCGAGTGTAAAGAGAATTAGCAATAAAGTTAAAAAGTCCAAAAGAAGAAAGCGATTCTAGTCTAGGGAACATTAAAAGGATATGGAAGCAGTAGAAGTAAATATGAAAGAATTTGAAGAAGATAGAGCTTAGGAGGAATTAAATAACAGTTAAAGGGTGTGTGTGCGCTTTATGAAGGAGAGTTAATTAGTATTTAAAGTTTTACACTCAGAATTGTTTGAGAGAAAAGTTTAAAAATCTGAACTTGTTCGAGGGACTCAGACAATTATTACTTACTTACTTACTTACTTACTTACTTACTTACTTACTTACTTACTTACTTACTTACTTACTTACTTACTTACTTACTTACTTACTTACTTACTTACTTACTTACTTACTTACTTACTTACTACTTACTTACTTACTTACTTACTTACTTACTTACTTACTTACTTACTTACTTACTTACTTACTTACTTACTTACTTACTTACTTACTTACTTACTTACTTACTTACTTACTTACTTACTTACTTACTTACTTACTTACTTACTTACTTACTTACTTACTTACTTACTTACTTACTTACTTACTTACTTACTTACTTACTTACTTACTTACTTACTTACTTACTTACTTACTTACTTACTTACTTACTTACTTATTACTTACTTACTTACTTACTTACTTACTTACTTACTTACTTACTTACTTACTTACTTACTTACTTACTTACTTACTTACTTACTTACTTACTTACTTACTTACTTACTTACTTACTTACTTACTTACTTACTTACTTACTTACTTACTTACTTACTTACTTACTTACTTACTTACTTACTTACTTACTTACTTACTTACTTACTTACTTACTTACTTACTTACTTACTTACTTACTTACTTACTTACTTACTTACTTACTTACTTACTTACTTACTTACTTACTTACTTACTTACTTACTTACTTACTTACTTACTTACTTACTTACTTACTTACTTACTTACTTACTACTTACTTACTTACTTACTTACTTACTTACTTACTTACTTACTTACTTACTTACTTACTTACTTACTTACTTACTTACTTACTTACTTACTTACTTACTTACTTACTTACTTACTTACTTACTTACTTACTTACTTACTTACTTACTTACTTACTTACTTACTTACTTACTTACTTACTTACTTACTTACTTACTTACTTACTTACTTACTTACTTACTACTTACTTACTTTACTACTTACTTACTTACTT